CCGTAGGTGTACATTGACTGTTATTTATCTGGACTAGTTTTGGCCGTAGGCGTACATTTAACTGTTATTTATCTGGACTAGTTTTGGCCGTAGGCGTACATTGACTGTTATTTATCTGGACTAGTTTTGGATTTTAATTAAGTAAAGCTAGACTAGATGTATAGAGTGCTAGATTTTAATTAAGTAAAGCTAGACTAGATGTATAGAGTGCTAGATTTTAATTAAGTAAAGCTAGACTAGATGTATAGAGTGCTATATTTTAATTAAGTAAAGATTCACTAGATGTAGTGCTAGATTTTTGGGAATACTAATTGAAAATTTTGCAAACTTCTGAACCTGATGTGTATATGTGTGTGTGTTTATGAATGTATGTATGTATACATGATTACTTGTTTAATACTTCTCTTATACACCCAGCAAGGATTCTAATCCTGGTTGATAATGGTTTGTTCGACAACTTAGTACAAATCATCCAAACTATCTACATTATCATTTAAACAATGTAGTGCATTGTACAATACTGAGTACTAATATCTTTTTAAACAACTCTTTTAAAATTAATAAACTTTATTACCTTCAGAAATAAAGGTTTTAATCATGACTAGTTTACACCATACTCCTACATCATAGATGTAATAGGTTCTGATATATTTTTTCTCTAAAAGCATTAGCATTCTTGGTGAAATTTGTGTATTTTGTGCAAAATATGATCTTTCTAACAATGAAAGATATATTCAGATAAATAATACTCAAGGTACACCTAAAGGTTTCAAAATGTATAGATAAACCTAAAAAAAATTATTTCGTTTAACATCCTCCACGAGCAAAATTTGATAAGGCTTAGCAACCTATGGCAAGCAGCAAATGAGTACAAAGTTCATAACTAGAAGAGATAATTGTTTTCTATACTTCTTTATTTACTGTTATATGTTTTAAGAAAAATAACTGAAATTTAAGAGCTTATTTGTTAATAGTAATAATGTATATACATACATAATGTATTATAACCGAAATGTGACTGTATTTTACGAAATACTGGTCCATTAAAACACAGCCAAGATGGATCACTTTGTGAAAGCCAGTTTTATATTACTGGATACACTAATATGAGTGCACGTGCACTGCTGGGTCATTCAATTTCTGTAGGTTGTCAGACATGGCTGAAGGGTCAATATAATAAAAATAATAAATATATATAAATGTATAATGTTATGAGATTTAAACTATTTATGCTAAACATTTGTGTTTTTATATTAGAATTTATAGTCATTCTAAAACAAAAAAGCATAATTTATATATATTTCCTAATTTTTTATGGTGGTTACAAGGTCAGTCAAATTGACCCAACCCGTACAGAGTTACAGTAGTTAAAATAACAGAAAAAATAAAAAGTTTTTTCTAAAAAAATATTTGATAATTATCTGGAGGGTATAAAGATTTCACATGTGAAATTTGAAAATGTTCTGACTCACAAAAGTATTTTTAATCTTAAAATCAAAATTAATTTGCATGTTAGATAGTCAAAACAAAAGAGGCATGATAAAAACATTACTTAAGAAATCTTAAAACTTAATTTTAAAAATCTGATATTTTGCACATGTAAACCTTGTAATGTTTACTAATAATCTGCAAAATCGTGTAAAGATGCACGTACATTATCAAAAATCATAGTATAATTACTCTCATGGATACTTTCGTGGTTACGAGCTGGGTGGATAACACTCAGCCGTATTGGTAGGGTTAAACCATAAAGTAATGGCAATTGTTGTTGAAACAAAACTGTCAGGTTTTCATATAGGTAAGGATTCTTTACAGTAGGTGTCTGTGACTTGTTGGCTATAAATTTGAACAATAAATGGACAGCACACAATCCACCCATTTTAAAATAATATATTCAAAACCAGTCAAACGTATGTACAAAAAGTTCTTTACACTACAGAATATCACAGTTGTACTAAAACTCTTAAACAATTCTCTTTTCTTGTCAAAAGTCCACTTAGGCTGTTCAATTACTTTAAAATCCAATTGACAAGATGAATTATTTTTCTCTATTCTGTTTCTTACTATACAATCTGCAATAAATTCACTTATGTTACCACAGTTGCATCCAGAACTTTAAATAATTGTCTCCATTTCGTTGAAGTCCACACAGGCAGGTTCAATTACTTTAAAACACCCTCTGACAAGACAAATTATTCTTCTTATTTCTATTAAACTATGAATCTCACTTTAAAATATTGCCTGTAATGGCTAACTTCACTTTCACTATCTTAATATATTCTGACTTAACTTGTGCTCACTTGGTTGCCTATATATATACATTGCCCAACTGAGGCCACGAATTTTCTAGAAACTATGAAACACTATGATGTAACAACACTCACTTAAGGCAATAAGAAAAGCAGACATGGTTCGAGTAATGTGGTGTCAAATTACAACAACTGAACTGCAACACACAACGTCTGATTATTACTGAATTACGTCTTTTGTTACAAGGATGGTCAAAAAGACCGAGTCTGTATACAGTGTTAGGGAAGAGAAAATAAAAGGTAAAATATACAGTTTTACTAAAACAATCTTTTGATATTCATTTAGGAGGTTCTAGAGGTTATACAAATGAAATTTCAAAAGTATAAAGTGAAAAAAAAAAAATAGTTTTAAACCATAAGATAAAAATTATCTTACACTCAGACTAGTCAGAGTCTGAATAAGTCTGATTAAAGTAAATTCAAGATAAATCTTGGGTAATTCAGTGTGCACTCATAATGTGACATGGAGAAGTGACGACTGAGAATTTATTTAAATATTTCCTTTTTAAATTATAGACTTGAATTATAAACTAAGTTTTAATGATAAGCTTACTAGTATCCAATAAAAATACCTTAGATGTGAAAAAAAGGTGGGGCCAAAAAAGGATTCATTGTGCGACTTAAAGGAATGAAATCAAAACTGGCAACCAAACTAGTAGCTACACTTATAATATTGATAAAAATTTTACAGTAAATATTTATTCATTAGTTAGCCAGGTCACATTTTTTGTTAAAGTTGGGGAACGATGGTGGGTAAAACAAAATATGCAGCCTAGCTAACTACTGAATGAATATTTCCTGTAAAATTCTTATCAATGCCAGATACCAATTTGGCCACCAATTTTGATTTCCTTTAAATCACACACTGAATCTTTTTTTGGTCACACCTTTATTTCATACCTACGGTGCTTTTGATTAGATATCATGACTTTTTGTCAACACACACCAACAAACCACAGTGGCACTTCATAGTAACCAACTTTAGCTTTAGGATCACAACCCTGTTACAAAGCTTTACAGAACCAACCAGATTCTTTAAAATATATGGTGGTAGTTTTCCTCACTAAAACAGTGTTAACAGCTTCCTTTATACTAACACTACAGAATTTAGATTAACAGTTTCTTGTCATCATCCAGCATGCAATCAGTACAGATGTGACAAGCATCATTATTTACGCTAATTGCTTAATCTAATATCACATGATGCTAAACACTTTTTTAATTAGGATAATTCATAAAATTGTGCTGAAAAGTAAGCAATGATTAATCAATAATAACCGTCCACCCGTGTGATTCTCTTGAAAACTTTAGCTAGAAACTGCTAATCTAGTTCGCTTGGCCTAACCAATACTTATGTATCTACAGTTCTGCTGCTCTAAATCAGCCGTCTTTAATCAGAATGACGAAAACAGTCAACCCTTACTCTTAAATGAAGCCTGTAGAAGACTGACTTCAGGTTCAAAGACCAAGACAAACACAATCTAATTTTAAATAAAGCTTTGTTTGATTAAATGCTTTTTTATTTCTCGCATCACAGCTTTTTTCGACTTACTGAATAATTTGTTGAAAAAAATACTGGTCTATACATTTCAAATCTAAATTTTCACCGTGCAATGCCGGGTAACTTAGCTAGTATATATATATATATATATATAATAAACAGTGTGTACTTACCATCCTTGGTCTACTTTTGTAACTTATAGACAGCAGCAAGAATGTGACATAAAGCACCTCCAGGTCTGAAGTCCATAAAACATCTTATCTGTAGTGTTAAAATAATTTTTACATTAATGTTCACTTCAACAAAGTGCATTTTGTTTGTGAAATAAGATTACACATGACAATAGTTGAATGTTAGAACCATAATCACATTTAAAAGATTACACATGACGATAGCGGAATGTTACAACCATAATCACATTTAAAAGATTACACATGACGATAGTGGAATGTTACAACCATAATCACATTTAAAAGATTACACATGACGATAGTGGAATGTTACAACCATAATCACATTTAAAAGATTACACATGACGATAGTGGAATGTTACAACCATAATCACATTTAAAAGATTACACATGACGATAGCGGAATGTTACAACCATAATCACATTTAAAAGATTACACATGATGAAACCTGAAACCTATAGGTTAGTAAGCTAGACCAGATGTATAGAGTGCTAGATTTTAATTAAGTAAAGCTAGAATAGATGTATAGAGTGCTATAAGTTACTAAGCTTGATAAATTATAGAGGAATTCTGTGGTACTGATATAGTAATTTATGATTTTTGATTAAGCTCTATTTTGATCTAAAAAATATGAAATTTTGAACTCACTATTGGCATATTTTACCACTTGGAATCTAGCATGACAAGAAAGAGTTTGCCATCCAGGTAATTTAAAGAGGCTCAGAAAGCCACTAGGGGGACATTCTGAGTGTTTGATTGGTTATACATGCATTATTGGGTGATGTAGGTGTACGTAAGCAGGTATTTTCAAAAAATTGAAGAAGTGGGTGAGGCCACCTTGGTTGACTCAATAAATAATTAATATCTCAGAAAATAGAAAAGATAGGAGGTTCTCATTCTACATTCTAGCTTGTCAATTTCAGTAATTTTAGTATCTAGTTCGTAAGAAACTACAGACTTTGTATTTGAACATTACAGACATCTAATTTGAACCAATGCTGCATTCAACATACCATGTTGCACACAAAAATCGATATTTAGGATTTTTTTAATATTTACTCTTAAATTTTGAAATTAACTAATGGATCCTACTAAAATTTGAATTATAATCTACAATTTGATACCAAACTTATTAACATACATT